CTCTTTTATTGAAGTCGGTTAAAAATGATGACAACTATGTTATATAGTATTAGAGGTATACGGTTCTTTATCTCTATTTATCGTACGGTGAGAAACAATGTGCACGCACTATTAACACACTATATCGTATTATTGCGCCCATGTTATGGCCGACGCCAAACATTTTACGAGGACAACGATAGGCGAATCCAATTCAAGCCATCTCTGTTGCTCTTTATGACATTATTATTCAATACTATCGCCTGGATGTTTCCATGTTTCTCTTTGTACATGACAGGAGTTCTAGGCAGAAAAGAAGTCTTAGCAATTGGATTTTTTTATAGAAGAGGGGGCAAACGAGCATGCGTCTCACCTGATGGTAAATGACTACCGTCGCCCATGAATAACCGCAACACCAGGGGAATCGCAGATGCGTTGCCGGCCTTTTACAAAGGTGTAAACTCTTTTGTTGAAGGTCCCTAAGTCGTATCGGTCCGGAAAAATCGCCGGTGTTAAACAATTCCACAGAGAAGTTGTACGAGGAAGAAAACTCCTAGTAAAACGCACAGTCATGGGCCGCCAAGCATCCAGATGGTGAGGATGGTATCGTGAATTTTCACGTGATGTGCGTTCCTGAAATTTGACGTGGTAAATTCGATAGAAAATGCAAAGGGATTCAACATCCCTACGCAATGCCAGTGTATCGAGCTGATCAGAAAAAAACTCTTAAAAGGTTTTTTTTTATAGAATAAGGGTGACAAACAAGCACACAGTCCAATTAAGTGGATGCTGTAGCAAATAGACATCTAAATTTATCCTCAATTAAGGATCAAAATGCAGATGCGTTGCCACCCATGAGGACTGGGATGGAATGTCTCGTTTCCAGTAAAAAGGGTCTTCGGTTCTCTACACTCACCATACGAAACGCAGCAGCATTAAATTGCTATTTTACGCTGTGAGAGCGTGGACCTACCTCGGTCAAGCCGACGCATTAGTGATACAACCATAATATAGCTTCCAATTTCTTCATTTTGAATTTCTTATTGAAACATCTTATATTAAGCGTAATAAAGAGTTGACTTTATGACTTATGGTAAGTATTCTCTAGCAGTCAATCTTGGGAGATTTGAGTAACAGTGGCAGGTGCAAACAGTTTGACTTTGATTTGCTTATATAGGTCTAGTGAAGATGGCCGGTAACAGTTATTATTATAAATTACGGTTAATATTAGTATAGGCTAGCGACCCGCTCCGGCTTTTGTAGAATCTGTCAATGTTATTTAGATTTGACATAATCAAAGACAATTTATTTTATCAATTTTTAGTTATATTCCAAAACATTTTCAAATAAATATAGCCTAGATCACTCGTAGTGCGTGAAGTTTCATTACAATCGGTCCAGCAATTCCGAAAATTAGTCCAGACAGACAGACAAAAATTTTACAAATGTTTATTCATGTTTTAATTACATGCAAATAACCTTCTGAGCTCGATAAAAGGCAATTATTTCAATATTACAGACAGACACTTCAATTTTATTTATATTAGTATATTAACTGGTTACACTTAGGTTTTGTTTGTAGGCTAATGTTCGATATACAGATAATTTGCATTATTCGTTTTCATCCTCAGCCAAATAATTTATATCCAAATAATTTATAGCGTGGCTTAGAGGTGACCAAAGGGCCACCATAGCCTCACCTTGCATTACTACTACTACGTCTTATTTTTGCCACGAAAATATCTTTATCGATGATGCATGTGTCTATGGATACCAGCATCCACTTATAATAAGGTGAACTGTGGTCATACGTCATACTGTCCTGCCATAAAGAAAATTGTATGTTACAACTATATATATGTGTCTTTAACTAAAGAAAAAATAGCCATGGTAGCCTCGCCGTAAATTTTACAGTATGTCAGAAATCCGAGTTCCATAAAAACTATAATATAGGTATGTATAATGAATACTTATGAGATTAAAATTTTAGTGCCAACTTATCACGTGCTCGGCTGTAAAGGAAAACATTTAGAGGAAACCTGCATGTCAAAGAAATAAAATGTCACGCGGGAATGTGAAGTCCAACAACATGTCGTGGAGTAGCGTAGCAGGCTAATGGAGTAACCATTATCCTCTCAAAAACAAGAGCGTTCCTGTACCTAGGAATGCAGATGAAATAGGTTGTAACTTTACATTTTATTTCAGCCTACAAAAATTCCACTGCGGAACATAGGCCACCCCCATATATTGCCGCATATGGGGGACTTTGCCATAGTTGTCACGCTTTTCAAGCAGGTTGGTCTGACTACACGGTTAAACTTTCCATTTGCTAAAAAAAAAAATTAAACTCGTTGGAATTACAACAGCGTCTCTGCAGGCTAAAACAAAATTAATTAGAATACACTAGGCTAGACAAGTAACTACATGCAACTTGCTTAGTCATCTTAAACGATTACTCAAAGCAGCCATCTACTGGTAGGCGAAGTATTGGTAGGCCACCCACTAAATGGAGTAACGACCTGCTAAGATATATACGAAGTCGATACATGCGAGTGGCACAGAACCGTACTTTGTGGCATTCCTAGAGGGAGGCGTATGTTCAGCATTGTTCTTGTAAATGTCTATAATGATGATGTTAATATAGATAGAAACCACGTATTACCTGCGTATTGAACGGTGAATGTCAGAAAGGCTCAGTTATGATTTTTTAATTGAAAAATTATTTATTCAAGGGCAATAGTGCAAGACTGAGTTTACAAAGCTATATCGAGATATGTGGGCTTTCCAATAGAATTAATAATGCACATCGACCAGCAGCGCCGTTGAATGCCTTCCTACATCAATAATAGACGAGGGAAGCTACGTGAACTTTATCGATCTAGTATAAAGTGCCCGTTTTATTGTAGCTGCGTTAATTTAGTTATTTATATTCAATTATGTTTTAAACGGCAAGTATTTAAGCGAGTGATTCTAAATTCAAATTCAAGGTTTTTGTAAATTTATAACAATTTTATATGTATAATTGTAAATATCGAGTTCTGGTTACTAAAGTACCAAGAGAGCGACTGGTGGTTAGCAACTATAATGTTGGAAAACAGTGACTGACAAGCACTAATATAATAAAGCAAAACCTCTCCAAGAAATATCTCGCTAAGCAGCGAGATTTGTGGATAACATTTTCATATTAGTAATATAAATGTTCGTGGCCCAAAAGTGGCCATGGGCAACAGTATTTTACTTGCTCATGTAGCATTTATGTTATAGATCGAGGGATTAATCAGGGCGCTATTTAAAATGCCCGTGCAATATGCATATTGACAAGTACAATGAATCAAGTAAATTTAAACTTCTGGTCTCGTAATTAGGAATATTGCTACATAACTGTTGGGCAATTTGATATAACTTAGTTTTACTTTTTTTTTTACTGATAATAAGGAATATTGCTACGTAAGTTAGGCAATTAGATATAACGTTTTTACTTTTTTTTACTGGTAATTAGGAATATTGCATGGTAAATGTTAGGCAAATTGATATAACATTTTTTTTACTGGTAATTAGGAATATTGCTGTGTAACTGTTCGGCAAAAACGCTCCGACTAAAACCCCGTGGTATTTTAAAAAAATTATTGCTACGCTAAGCAGGTGGATCGACGGTTGCACAACCAGATATGTAGTGCGTTAAATAAAGCGAGCAGCTTTCTCATCTTCAAAACAGAAACCGTTTTTACGTGGTATAGCCATGCTGCAGCTATATTAATGGTAAAGTTGTAGCACGAATGGGTCGTCTCGACCGGGCAAGGAACACAATCTCATAGAGGGGTGTGCAGAGACTACAGGTTCCATGTGCACAATAATGACACACATCTATCGCATCTTTTATATCCATGTATCTAGGCATATATGTCCGTCGAATTGATTAAAGTACCGTGTAAATACCACGTAGTGACAGTGTAAGAACAGCCACAAACCCATACCGTCCCGTGGGTGTCGTAAGAGGCCACAGAAAGAAACTGAAATAGGTGATGGACAGCAGCATCCTCCTGATAACAACTTAAAAAAATTGGTAAATCCAATTGGGCATGTCCTAAGCGCATAAAAATTACGTATAATATATGTTTTCACTAATAACCTTATTATAATTCCAATTTTCCGATAATTTTATGTCAAACTTCCATTTAAAAAAAGTTTGGAAAACCAAAATAGCATGACACATAATGCTCATATGAGAGTGAAAAAAAAAACTTTAATTTGTAGTGTTATTAGTCAAATAATTCAAAATATACTTTCAAGTTACTCTATCTAGTCCGGAGGTAAAGTCTCATCATAACTAACAAAACAAGCCCAAACTCGGCATAACTAGTTCTCCTCGTCGAGGAGTTCCAGTACAGTCATTAAAGTACACTTTGAAGTCACTCTATCAAGTCCAAAGGTAAGGAGAGTAAAATGATAGATAGAATAATTGAAAATTTCAAAAGTTATCGTGACTTGATAAATCATCATAAGCCGCTAAAACCCCTTTTTTATTTAAAAATCGCAATTATTCGATTTAAAAAATATATTAATAAGTTCAACAATCATTTATCTTTCTGACAATGTGCTCTTTATATCACTTACATATGTACAATATGATTGCTAGATACGATTTCATGCGACAAAACGTTGGAATCTTAATTTTTAGGCCCTAGTAGAACATACCGACGCGCTTAGCGCTTACGGCATGCAACAATAGACTTTAGTAACAAAATTTTGCCAACCCGCTCATCATGCGTGGCAACTATACCAAAATTATTCCTATGAGTCAATCTATGGGGGAGGCCTACGTTTATCAGTAAACTTTTATAGGCTGGAATGGAATGGTATAAATTATAATTAAAATTAAAATTCAAGCATAAAATGTGAAAAAGTTTGTTTGGAGCCAGATTCTTGAAATTTTCAATTAAATTTTACGACTTAAAGTCAAGTTATTGTAATGAATGAACACAAGAGTCAATTAAAAATCACATCAAACTTTATACGTCGGAATGTATTTGAAAAATCTATTCGTTTTTTTGTTTCTCATGATACATTTTGTATATGGAAATAGAAAACCGATCACTTTTAAAATAGATAAGAAAGAAATAGTTCAAGCTGTAAGATCAGTATTTACTAAGGATTTTCTTCAACGATTAGCTGTTACAATTGCAGACATAGCGGCAAAACGTTTTGTTGAAGTAGTAATGGAAAAAATGGAACATAATCGTTATATTGGATTTGAAAGGTTTGCATTAAATTATTATAGTTTATACGAATAACAGCTTAATATTTTGGCTAATTTTTAAACGAGTTCAAAAATCTAGAATTTTCTTCATTTTCGAACTCGGTTTTTGTTATACTACGCTTATTTTATAGAAGTATGTTGTATAATCACAATATTCCTGCCCACACGCAAAATACGTGATTATACGTATAGTTGCGGAAAATAGCTCGTTGTAAACTAAACTAAACTAATTATGTTCACCGATTTCTCGGATACGGTTGAAATATCCGAGAATATCTCCAATGTCGACATAAATTCAAACTACTGAGACGACTATGTAGGTGATATTCTTGTTGTTACATCGAGTTACCCTGTTTACTGTGATTTTCCTTAGACCGCTCAAAAGGGTAAAATGACTAAAACATTTAATTTAAAAAAAATTGTACGTGTATGTAATTGTGTACACTAGTACAAAATAAACTTCTTTACGACATATCATTCTTCCTTAATTTTATATTTTACATAAGTAGTTTAAATAATAGTAAACTCATGCAGCCCCGGCGGTGAAACGTTACAATAAAACATTACAAGAAAACTTGACAAGAAAACGTTATATGAAAACGTGACGTTTTTTTTTAAATACTCGTACCATACTAAATTTCTCCACTACGTCGATAAAGAAGCTTAACTTCAAAAGTAAAAATCGACTAATTTTTCCACATACGCCTCCAGAATTTATTATGTGGGAATTATTTTATTTATTTTTTAGTTTTGAAGTAGGTTTACACTTTTTAACCGACTTCAAAAAGGAGGTGGTTCTTAATTCGAGAGTATGTTTTTATATATGATTGTGAACCAATTTTGATGATTCTTTTTTTTTATTAAATAGTTTATAACTTCAATGGTGGTCCCATATAAATTTGGAGAAAAAATTCTACCACTAAAGGTAGCAAATAAATAACTTCTTCTTTAGTAATTTGAAGTCCGTTTTTACTTTTTGTTAAATTATTATTTTTAACAAAAAGTTATTTTATTACCTCCGAGAAATCAGATGTACCATAGTCGTAAGTTTTATTATATTTCAAAAATCTGTTTATAATTTCTCAGAGCGACGAATGAAACAACAAACAAACATAGCAAAGATATGAATATGAAGGGCAAACGCGGATTACTGCAGCTGTTGAAGGAACCATCACCGGATGGAGACAACTTGGACTTGGCTACTGAAATAAGCAAGGAACAGACTGAAGACGCTCAGAAACAGATACCAGTAATTGGCATTATGAAGATCAACGGAGTTTATTATAGGCGATTATTAGGTCTATTGTAATTGATATATATGTGTTTTAAAGCCAAACCAACAACAAAAGACAAACAAAATGTTGCGCACATTTCAAATGACGCATAAACCATGCTTAACCTCTTAATACGCATATACACACACGTCTTTCTTCATTTTTTCTTTAACAGCCTGTATGAGTTTCACTATTGGAAAAATATTGACCCATATGTGACCAAATATTTGATGTCATGATCATTTGATTTGCACAATGGAAATCACGACAATAGAGAAAGTAAATGTAGAGCATTACAATTATTAGAGTGTGTGTAAATTGTTGGATTTTAGTTAAGGGTAATAAATAAATAAATAAAGTTCACATTTAAAATGAATTCCAAATAAAAGCAAAACACAAAACAAAGTAAGTCACTAAGCTTTCAAATAAAATTCATAATACATCTTAGTTTTCATACATTAAACAAAAATTAAAAAACCCTTACATAAAAAAGTGTGTGAGTCAGGTCCGACGCACGACTGGACTTTACTCCTTACAAATGATTATAATATGAAATTTAATATCAAAACTCCGCAAGTTGGCAGTTGGTTGACAGTTGTTATTTGTTTATACAAAGTAGTACATGCGAGAGTACTCTGTGCTGGGGGCTGCACAAGATAAGTTGTGCACGACATTACGTAGTCATGGAAACATGAATACATAACGTAACGCATGACGTAACGTTTGATTTTATTCTTCATACATTTTCATATCCCAGGAGTAATCTTCAATAAAATAATCGGTAATTCATCCACTTATTGTTTCGTTTGTTCCAAATTTTTCTTTTTCATCTCTTCATCGTACACTATTTTTGTCACTAATGAGCCGGACACCACAATATGTCTACATTCGTCAAAAATTTGGTCTTGACTCATATATCTAAAACCATGTTGTTGGTTACAAATGATTTTAGATGCATAATTTTATGTGGACATTTTAAGAATAATAAGTTCAGCATGGTTTCGGCGTCACTTGAAATCTACGTGGCGCTCCGTCTATCTTTGTTAGTCTGTGCTTAGAGCAAAATATAATCCTATACTTTAAGCGAGCAATTCTTGTATATTATTACGTTATTGGTTTCTCGGAAACGTCTCTAACAATTTAGGTGAAGTTTTTTATTTAAATAATGTATTACTTGCAAAGTTTGTCTAGATAGGTTTAATTTCTGAGAAAAATACTTCTTTTCTAACGCTGGACAAAGCTCGGTCGTCTAGGTGCTATAAATAATTGTCGCTAAAGTATAAATAAAAATGTAGATAAAATAACTTGTTTCTAGCATCTTAAAGCTCTTAAGTGTTTCTTAACGTGTTCGTTTGGTTTATTTAATAATTATAATTTTTAACAAAAAGTAAAAATTGACTTCAAATACGAAGAAACTTAGGGGTGAAATTTTTTTTCCAAATTTATATGGGACCATTCTTGAAGTATAACCTATTTAATTAAAAAGAATCATCAAAATAAATTCACAATGATATCGCGTAACATACATAAAAACATACACTTGAATTGAGAACCACTTCCTTTTTGAAGTCGGTTAAAAATTTAATTTGTAACCATTACAATTAAATCTTATCAAAAGTCCACTGCTTATCATAGACTTCCCCCAAAGATTGCCTAATAGGTAGTTGCCTGGCTTGGCAAGCGGGTTAGCACAGCAGTTTTTTTTACTATTTTGAGTTACTATGACGAAGAAATGAACGATTATGCTGTCTATCTCTTGTTTACTCTTACGACACCCACGAGGTAAAATGAGGCAGTGAATATGTTTAGACCACCACGAGACGGTAATAGAGAAATGTTTATTTTGACCAAATATCTACAATTGTCTGTTATAAATAATTGAGAAAAAGTTATACTTAACCATTTTTCTTTTCAAAAACCTCATTTAAAAGAAGCAAAATTAATAATTTAGCCCACTATACTCATTCAGAACGCTACGTAATGGTTTAATTAATGTTTATAGGAGTTCTATATATAATTTATGAGGAGAAAAAAAATCTGCGTCTTATTAATTCTTTTTCATATATAAAAGTCTAAAGTTACACCTATAAACGTCCCACTGCTGGGCACAGGCCTCCTTTAATTTTTGAGAGGATTTTTAGGGCTAAGAAGTGTGCGTCGCGCTGCCCCAGTGCATGTTGGCGTATTTTACATGTCTTCGAACGGTGATGAAACGAAACGAACTTGGAACTTTACGTTGTTTTCCTACACCGCCGAGCACGTGGTAAATCAGCACTTAAAATTGCAATTAATAATTTTATTGGTGCCGGCGGAGATTGAACCCGGATTGCGTACTTCATGTATATTGAAAGAGAATTAATAAAAAGAGAGTTTCTTAGTACACGTAACAACGTTCTTAGTACAAGGTTTAACACCTTTCTGACATTCAACGTTCAATAGACAGGTTCTATCTATATTATCATCAACATTACAGCTAAGTCCACTGCTAAACATACATAGGCCTCCCCCATGAAATGTCACAAAACACTTGCTGTTAATGCATTGCCACTGCATATATAGACTGCCTGTATATTTCATCAGGTCAATTTAATAAAGGATCACTCAAACTGGGCTTGTCAATACGATACTGCCAATCCAGATCCTTTCTACTCTATCGGGTTTTGGTACTTCAATCTATATGGCCGGCCCACTGCCACTTCAGCCAAAAATATTTAAATGTTCTTTCTACTCGTATAAACCCAATAATAGATACATCTACGAATCTTTATATATATATATATATATAATCGAATCTTTCAGAAACAGCGCATTACTTGCGTTTATAGAGCTGCTAGAGAACATTTTGCCGCCCGTTGCATATTTGCAGACTATTTTTGTTTAGAAAACATTTTATATTATTGCCAACATATGCCGTCTTCTTACAAAATGTAGCTTACAACAATTGAAGTAATATTATGTACAACGTATCGAGAAAAGACGTCTAGACTTGGTTGTTTGACTCAAACTTATTGCATACCTTAAGCGAAAGCGCAAGGTATGTTCTACTATCGCCTAAAAATTAAGATTCCAACGTTTTATCGAATAAAATCGTATCTAGCAATCATATTATATATATATAGATGATATAAAAAGCACATTGTTTGAAAGATAAATGATTGTTGAACTTATTAATATTTTTTTTAAATCGATTAATTGCTATTTTTAAATAAGAAAAGAGGTTTTAGTGGCTTATGGTGTGGATTTATCATGTCCGCAAGGCTTGTAAACACTAACTTTTGAAAATATCAATTGTTTAACTCAATCTATTTTTTAATCTCTTCATATATCATGTGGGAACCTACTGAATGTAAATGGCAGTGTAATTTTGTTTTGTTTAGCTATAATAAAAAATTTTCGGCTCCAAAATGGCGAAATTTTCGTTGATTTGGTAGCCTTGTATGTAAATTATTTCTGTAAATGGACTATTACAGCCACAGACTAGTTTTGCTCGGCTTGAGTCGCCGTCGTGAGTGGACATTGTTTTGGTTGTTTGCAGCGGCTCAAAAAGATCGCTGTACAACGTACACAATATTCGAATAACCAAATTTCTTAAATACTTGATTATAATAATAATAAGAGATTTTTTTATTACAATATTTTAAAAGCACAGAATAAATAATACTAGAAAGTACTAAAAGTAAGTAGTATATTTTTTTTGGTCATGGGTGACATTTTCATGCTTTTCGAGGGTGTTGAAACCGATAGGGTTGTCGAAATGTAAATCCAAGATGGCGACTGCAATAGGTATCAATTTTTCCATCATGGGTGTCATTCTCATGGTTTTTGCGGGTGTTGAAGCCGATACTACTGTGGAAATGTAAATTCAAGATGGCGGCTGCAATAGGTATAAATTTTTTCATAATGGGTATCATTTTCATGGGTTTCGAGGGTGTTGAAACCGATAGTGCTGTCGAAATGTAAATCCAAGATGGCGGCTGAAGTAGGTACCAATTTTTTTATCATGGGTGTCATTTTCCTGGTTTTCGAGGGTGCTGATGCCGATAGTGCTGTCGAAATGTAAATCCAAGGTGGCGGCTGCAATTGTTATTAAGTTTTTCAGTTTGGGTGTCATTCTCATGGTTTTCGCGGGTCTTGAAGCCTATCGGCTACCAAATGAGTAGTATCCTACTGTCGAAATGTAAATTCAAGATGGCGGCTGCAATAGGTATCAATTTATTCATAATGGGTGTCATTTTCATGGGTTTCGAGAGCGTTGAAGTCGATAGGGTTGTCGAAATGTAAATCCAAGATGGCGGCTGAAGTAGGTACCAATTTTTTCATCATGGGTGTCATTTTCATGGTTTTCGAGGGTGTTGAAGCCGATAGTGCTGTCGAAATGTAAATCAAGATGGCGGCTGCAATAGATATCAATTTTTTCATCATGGGTGTCATTTTCATGGTTTTCGAGGGTGCTGATTCCGATAGTGCTGTCGAAATGTAAATCCAAGGCGGCGGCTGCAATCGATATCAAGTTTTTCATCTTGGGTGTCATTTTCATGGTTTTAGAGGGTGTTGAAGCCGATAGTGCTGTCGAAATGTAAATCCAAGATAGCGGCTGAAGTAGGTACTAATTTTTTCGTCTTGGGTGTCATTTTCATGGTGTTCCAGGGTGTTGAAGCCGATAGTGCTGTCGAAATGTAAGTCCAAGATGGCGGCTGCAATAGGTATCAATTTTTTCATTATGGGTGTCATTTTTATGGTTTTCGAGGGTGTCGCAGCCGATAGAGCTGTCGAAATGTATTTAAACTACATACTTTAAAAGTTCCGTATAATCATGTGATACGTAATTATTTTAATGCGCTTAAGGTATGCCCAATTGGATTTACCAATTTTCTTTTTAGTCTGTGATATAAAAAGGTACTCTGTGATTCCTGCCAAGCGGCCTGCACTGATGCACATATTTTGTTCGCGGTGTCTGTTCTATTACGTAGTACACATTATTTCAATTATAATTAGTCTGAGGTTAAAGCTAACGTCTGCATTAATAAAGAATTCT